TTTTATTTTATTTATTTCTTTGCTTTGTTTTGGTTGTTGTTGGGTATGGTTAGGTTTTGTTTGTTGGTGCAGACTCTCTCCCTGTAGCCCTGGGTTGGCCCTAGCCCAGGGTGGCCTTACTCTCCTTGCAATCCTCCAGCCTTTACCTCCCAAGTGTTGGGACGCCAGGTACTACCCAGCCTGGGAGAATTAAGAATTACTACGGTGTTATATAAACAGTAGATTTTCCGGGATAAAACGATGCCTTTCTGAAATCACTGTTATTTCTACCTCTGGGTCCCATGGCTTTTGAGAAAGAGGCAGCTCTCCTTCCGGAAATCAAAGGGAACCCTGAGACGGAGGCTCTGCCAGCTGGGTTCACCAGAAGGGCCGACGAGCTATCACTTTTCCGAATCAGTTGATATCATTATCAACTAAGCCATTTTATATGAAGAGTAATATCTGTTTACTATTACATAATAGGAAAAGGAACCACAAAGTGGAAAATCCCTAAAAGCTGGCCAGTCTCATTAATCACACCTGGCAACCATCTAGTCCAGGGGATTATGGCTTCTGGATAGATTTTTTTTCCAGATAAATTAATAAAACCAAGGCAGTCTAGATTTTAGCAAAGAATTCCGTTTAGCGTTTTACCTAGGCAGCCCAGAATACCAAGTTAGAAGTATGGTCTTCCTCTTTAACACCAGGCTCAGAGATAACTACTTCCAAACTGGTTCGGTTTGGAAATAGATTTCTCTAAGCCCCTAGTGAGAAAACTCTTGCTTTGTTTGAGACCCGGGAGCGGGGGTTCCCCCCCCCCCCCCTCTCCCCTCTCCTCCCACACCCCGCCCTGTCCCGCCCCAGACTATGTTTGTTTACAATGCTCTTCTGGACGAGTGTGGAGCATTGAATAAAACTAGGCCCAGGTGGCCGCACAGCCAGGTATCCGGGCATTTACGCCTCTCACACACACAGCTGCCTGGAGCTCAGGGCCTTGGTAGTTGGACTTTGAGGGTTCCCAAAGCCACTCACAAGCCTCCCTCCTCCCAAGCAATTCAGCTCCCTGAGGGAGCACAAGAGGCGGACTGTAGCTTGAGTTCCCCAAGGGCCTGAGGGATGCTCTCCCTACTCAGCAGTTTTAGAGGGCACCTTGCTCGGGCTGGAGAGGGAGCCTTTGCAGTGTGCTCGGCATCTCACACCCAGCCACTCTCCCGGGATTTCTGAGGCTCAAGCAAATACCATAAACACTGTCCTTAATTAAGGCCTGATAAAAACCGCTCGTGAAGCCACAAAGCTGTGAAAATTGTCAGCAAGTAACAGGGAAGGGACATACTGTAGCCAGAGTGAAGACTAAACCGAGACAAAGCATGCGTTCATCCTCAGGCCTGCTAGAAAACGTCCTGCTATGTTCACTTTTGTGATGTTTTTTTTCCTCTGATTCTTCTGAGGGAATGGATTGCTTCACTCCCTAGCTACATTCTCTGCTGAGAGTTGGCCGTATTTTCATTAACATTCAGAATGGGTTAATCTGTCAGGGGTGACCTGGCGTCCTGGGCCCCTTTGAAAAGTAACTCGCACCGGCATCCTCACTGTGCCCCCAGCAGAGTGATTCGGAAACACCAGACACATCCCCTCTTGTCACATGTGTAAAACTTAGATGTCTCTGAGCCTCAGAGAAAGATGTGCATGGGATTCAAAGATTCAAACTGCAGAAATGTAGGGTTCACATCTCGACCTGCACTCCCCAGTTAAACCCACAAAAAGCCGTTGCTCCCCGAGAGCCTTCAGGAAAGTTCTGTGGTAAGTTTTCCATCTCAAGTCTGAGTTTGCTGCCTGGATTTCCTCCGTGAAATGCAGACCTGGGGATGTGCCCATTCTCAGGACATCTTTTAGCCACAGTTTGGCCCTCACGGCCCAATGCTTTCCTTCGGTTGAGGGAAATGGAGGCCTTCAGTCCTCAAAGAGCCCGCTCACTTTTCCCTGCTTCGCATTCCGCCTTCTATACCAGACTTCACTTATTTTATACGAGAAGTAGCGTAGCACGTCCTCCAGCAAATAAATGTCTGCCTCAAGTTATAATCCAATGTCCACAGGGGCGAGGGGGGGCTATTTATGTTTTCAGATACCAAGATTGATCTTGGTCAGGCCTCACAACTTGTGGATAAAATGGAAGCTAGATTTGCTCACATCCTGCCCCTAGTCACTCCCAAGTTAAATTGACTTGGCAGAGGAGATGGAAAGAAAGCCAGAGTGAAAAGATTAATTTTAAATTGAAGTTTGGAAATAAAGCAGCAACCATTACCAGCTTCGAGCTCCAAACTCTCTGAATAAGAATAATAAAAAAAAATGTTTTCCATCTGAAATAAAACTTAGCTCTTTCTAGGTTGATCAGAAACACATTCGGAGGGCTGGTGATGCAGCTGAGTGACAGAGCATTTGCCCGGCATTCAAGGGGCCACAGGTTCAATCTACAATCTAATCCCCACCACTGCCTAAAACTCCAAATGCAAACAAACAAACAAACAAACTTGAGTTTAGCATCAAGAAGAGAGATTCTGTTCTAGCCTTGGAATCTCAGATTAATTTAAACTGCCATTCATGACCCAGACAAACATTTTCCTTTTGTAATTCTGGGGACTAAACCTCACACAAGGTAAGCAAGGATTCCACCACTAATCAGCAGCCATAAACCTTAATTAAACACTTCTGTCTGCTTTCTCTGTTTGTGTGCGTGTATGATGTGTGTGACTCTGCCTGTGTGGGTGTGTGTGTCTGAGTGTGCCTGTATGAGTATGCCTGTGAGTGTGGGCACGTGTGTAGCAAAGCACCCCATTAGAGGACATCTTCAGATGTAGGGTCCTCTCCTTCCACCTTGACTGAGACATGGACTCTTTTTGTTGTTTGCTTTGGGGGGTTCTCGTGTTTTGACTTCTTATCCAGATAGGTTCCCTGGAAGCACAGACACATACTACCCACCCAGGTTTACACGGGATCTGGGCAATCAAATCTTTGTGCCTTCAAAGCGAGCATTGCCCACTGAGCCTCTTTCCGAATACATAGTGAATGTTTTGAATGCACTTACTTATAAGCTTATAGTGCCCTTAAGTACAAGAAATACCGATGGAAAAATCCATTTTTTTTAACATGATAGTAAATTCAAAATGAATATTTATTTATTTTTATGTTTTAAAACCCGTTTGAGAAATGATCTTATGCAGCCAAGAGTGACCTTATTGAACCCTGATCTTCCGACCTCCACCTCGTAATACTGAGATTATAGATATGGATATACTGCTAAGGCTCCAAAAGTTATTTTAAACAGATAACTGAAAATACAGGGCCGTGGATATAGCTCAGGGCTGGAGTACTAGCTTATGAAAGGTGATGGGCTTTGTCCCCCAGCACAAGGAGCAGAGGAAGGAGGTGGGTGTTTGGGGAGGGGCATGAGAGAGACAAAGGAGAGGACAGGAGGGTGAGGGGAAAATGGGGATGAGTAAAACAGTGACAAAGGGAGAAAAAGAGGAGAAAGATACTACTTCTTTTAGTTATATGTGGTGATTTCAGATAGGATACAATCCCAGTACTTGGACAATTAAAGCAGGAGAGTCACAAGTTTGAGACCAGGTTGTCTTATACAGTAAGGTCGCTATCAGAGAAAGGGGCAGGGCAAAAAAGAGGGGGGAGGAGGAGAAGAGGGAAGAGACACACAAATAAGGCAAATAAAGAAAATGTAGTCGGGCAATGGTGGCACACGCCTTTAATCCCAGCACTCGGGAGGCAGAGGCAGGTGGATCTCTGTGAGTTTGAGGCCAACCTGGTCTACAATAGCTAGCTCCAGGACAGGCTCCAAAGCTGCAGGGAAACCCTGTCTCAAAGGAAGGAAGGAAGGAAGGAAGGAAGGAAGGAAGGAAGGAAGGAAG